GGGGTTTCAACGTGTCAGCCAGGATGGTCTTGATCTCCTGACCTTGTGATCCGCCCGCCTCAGCCTCCCAAAGTGCTGGGATTACAGGCGTGAGCCACCGACCCCGGTCACTTGTGGCCTCTTCTGTTATTTTCTGGATTGTTTACACTTCCCTCACTCATCACAGAGCTGGAGAGAGATTCTGTGGCTGTGATGGGATAAAAGGATGGATAGGCAGGTGAACAAATGAATAGACAGCTGGCTGGGAAGTGGAAGATTTCTTCATCCCAGATGGGGCAACTCAAGGAGTCGATTACCCTAAAACACACCTGTTCCACTGTTGGGCACTTTTGCAATAGACAAGTTCACATCAAGCTAGACCTCCCTGATCCCTACATTCTAACTGGAGTGACCAACAGGACATGGGAGAAAAAAATCACATACAAAGCCAATCCACAGAACCCTGCCATGCCCAGGTCCCCAGAGAGAAGGGAGGGGGCATTTTCTCCACTGTTTTCTGTTGGCCAATGAGCCCCTGAGCCATGCACTACAGTCCCACAGGTTGACCCCATGTTGCCAGCCTCAGGGTTAAGGTCATGTTTCCAGACATGGCCCTGAGAAAAAGGCCAGCCCAGGGAAAGGGACATGGTCAGGGCAGACAGGTGCATGCACATAGGAACCATGTGCATACCACACATCCATGCACATGAGCACACTCCACACACCACCTGTGTATGCACATATCATACACATGTGCACAAATGCATGTACACACACTATAGTCATACCACACATACATCTCTACCCACACATGCAGAATCATGGACAGGTAATACACAACACATACACATGTACCCACATGCCATATACACACCACATGTACCATGCATACACCATACACACACGTGCACAAATGCATGTACACACCATCACACCACTCATACATCTCTACCCACACATGCAGAATCATGTACAGGTCACACACAACACATATGCATGTGCACACATGCCATATACACACTACATGTACACACATGCACCATGCATACACCATACACACACATGCACAAATGTATGTACACACACCATAGTCACACCACACATACATCTCTACCCACACATGCACTATCATGTACAGGTCATACACAACACATACACATGTGAACATATGCCATATACACATCACATGCACCATGCACACACCATACACACGAGTGCAAATGCATGTACATACACCGTCACACCACTCATACATCTCTACCCACACATGCAGAATCATGTACAGGTCATACACAACACATGCATGTGCACACATGACACATACACACCACATGTGTACACACATGCACCATGCATACACCACACACACGTGCATATACACATACAGGTAGAGGCACACACACCACCATATACACCACATACAAAGACACACACTGATATATGCACACCTACATACATGTACCCACAGCACACATGCACATACATCACAACACACATGTGCAGCACACACACCATGTGCACACCCATACACCCATGCTACATACATGCCATACCCCATGCATATGCATACACTGACCACAGCACACATCAACCACACACCCACCAACATACCTCTTTCTTTTTTTGGGGGGGACAGAGTCTTGCTCTGTTGCCCACGCTGGAGTGCAGTGGCGTGATCTCAGCTCACTGCAGCCTCTGCTCCCTGGGGTTCAAGTGATTCTCCTGCTTCAGCCTCCTGAGTACAGGGATTACAGGCATGTGCCACTGTGCCTGGCTAATTTTTGTATTTTTATTAGAGATGGGGTTTCACCATGTTGGCCAGGCTGGTCTTGAACTCCTGACCTTAGGTGATCCGCCTGCCTCGGCCTCCCAAAGTGCTGGCATTACAGGCATGAGCCACCACCCGTGGCCTTTTTTTTTTTTTTTTTTTTTAGGCAGAGTCTTGCTCTGTCACCCAGGCTGGAGTGCAGACTCCAAGAACCAAACCTCTTAAACTCAATC